ACAATCACAATATCTCAGCTCCTCAGACCCACCCCGATGACTACAAAAACTTCACCAGCGCGAGCCCGGAATATACATCAACAATCCCAACCGCTCACATGGACCAAGACTTCTCATCCCAATTCTCATAATTCCAGGTCAACTACACACGAGATTCTAGATCCTAACTGTGTCATACAGGTCACTATAGACAAAAAACTCCTAATGATTCTCAATCACAACATGGAACAATCAATGCAGCTAATCATGAGCAATAATATCATAGCATATCAGATAATCAAAATAAGAATTATAAATCATAAACAACATCTACATAATTCAGAAAATAATCTTTTTCTAAATTAATTCATTTTAAATTATTTCGCTTAACAATTAATCTAAACTAATTCATTTTCCAAAATAAATTCTTTTAAATTATTATAATTATCTAAAAATGATTCTTCTGTCGAATTAAATTCTTTTAATTCATTATAATTATTCCAAAAACACTATTTATCACATATCAATTATTCAGATCAATATTCTTCAGCAACAACCCACGCAGATAAATACGTCACAATTAAACTATGCAAATAATTCATAAAAAATGTAAATAATGAAAATATAGATCAAGTAAAGCGGGATCTTGCCTCGGGTTTTTGTCGAACCGATTCAACATCGCGCGGTGCGAGTCAGATCCGACGCAAATGGGCACGACGGCGACGGTTGAATGAGGAATAGTCGCGAATCGTGGTTTGACGGGACAGCGAGCGGGGAGAGGAAGAGGCCGACGACGGGGGTCTCGACGTCGGGAAGAGCTCCGACGAGGGAAAGGCAGCGAGCTCGGCCGGCAAGGGCAGCGGGGATCTAAGCGTCGGAGTTCGTCGAGGGCGGTGGTTCTCGGCCTGGGGTGGCCTGTCGGGTGGCCGCTGGCGCTGGCGAAGGCGCAGGCCGTTGGGGGCGTGTGGGGCTCGACGGTGGTCGGCGTCAGGGGAGAGCAGCGACGTGCTTGGCTGGCGGAGGCGACGGCTGCTGTTCGTCGGGCTCGGCCGTGATGCTGGAGGCGACGAAGGAGGAGCTGGGTGCACGAGACCGAGGGGAGAGGGCGGAGGAAGTTGGTCGAATCGGAGGGCACAGTGAAGGCGGACGGTGAGGGAAGGGGTGCGGGTGGCTGCGTGCGAGTTTGGGGAGAGAGAGAAAAATGAGAGCAAGAGGCGGCGAGTAAACGAGAGGAGAGGAGAGAGAACGAGAGAAAAAACATGTATATATATAATTATATTAGGGTTAGTGTTAGGTATTTAATCAAAAATAATTAAATAAATAATTACGGATACTTAAAAATTAAACTAATTATAGAATAATTATCTATAAATAAAAACGTACATGTTGTACTAATACAACAGTTGATACAAAATAGTCAAAATATACCCATATTGTATAATTAAACAGAAATAATTACTAATAAAAATATATTTACTTATATTTAAAATCAAATAATTATGGGATAATTATCCACATAGAAAAAAGTACTAGTTATACTAATACGATAGATAATATGTAACAGTAGAAATAATACAATAAATTATACCAAAAATACGTAATTAATAATACTATGTATTATATGAAATAATTTGTAATAATATTAATAATACAATATATTATTTAAAATATTACGTAATAGTATCGGTAACACAACGGATTAATTCTAAAAATATTTACCACACAAAATAAATTTATAAATATCAAAATCATTTAAATAAATATATAATCAGATTTTTAAATCATAGAAAATTGTAGAAAATTATAGAAAATCGAGAAAAATACAAATACTCTTTTAAAAATCATAATTAAATATTTTAAAATACCAAAAAATTATTTTAACTAGTATCAAAATTCATGGTCCTTACAAAGGAGCTATAGGTTTAGGTCCTGATGGCTTGGATGAAGCACGCTTAGAGGAAGTGGTTGGGGAGGGCATACTTGGTGCTGATGCTGAGATAGAATCTTCGGATGGAGGAGATGCTACTGTAGATATGCAACATGCTACCACCATTCCCAGTGATAATGTGCCATTTTCTGGTTCTGGACCATCTAGTCTGAATAATGGTAAACGAAAACGTAGGTCAATTGGTACTACAGCCACATCCTCTGTATCTTCCCAGTTATCATTGTAAGAGGTAGGAGAGATAGTTGTCACTGTAGGTAAAGCTTTTCATGAGTTAGTTGATGAGTTAAGGAAGATAGAAAAGGTCGGAATAAAGAATGGGTTGATGATGTTATGTCTACTTCTGAATTGACTAAGCCACAAAAATGGAATATACTCAGTGACAATATCTCACAGGACATGAAGGATGCCTTTATTGACATGGATGCAAAAGACCGCTATGAGTTTCTACATTTTAGGTTGATCAGTGAGATAATGAATGATGGTAAGGATGAGACTCAAGCCAATTCTGATCCAAATGGTGAAGATTATGATTCTGATTTCTTTAGAGATGTTTAGAGACAATAATTTAGAAGTTTAGGATATTTATATGTTTTTTAAGATTTGTTATGGTGTTAGGATTGTGTGGAATTTCATATTGTCAAACTATTTTTTATTGAGTAGGTGGAACTTGGGATAATGTCATGTTTTTTTAAAGATTTGGAAAGTATTTTTAGGATCAATTTCATTTCAATTTGTCAAAACTATTTATTTTTAGGATATTGCCATGCTTTTATTTATTTGTTTATATTATGTTCTTATGTTATTTGACTTGTCAGCTATATTAGTTTGGTGCATTTAATGGATGAAGTTTCTATTATATGTATCATCCTAACAAATGATTCTTGTATGTTTAGATGAGAGTAGTGCAATATTATGTTTTCTTCTATTTTTTAGTAGTTTGGTGATTAACGATTAGCATACATATCAACATTTTTTAATTGATTGCTACTTTGTTATCAGTCTCATTGTGTGCTAATAATAGAGTGCTTTATTTATTTCCTATGTACATAAGTTTCATGTAAATTGATTATATTTCATTGGTTATATTATTTAATAGGATGGAGGAAGATCAAAATTTTCCCATTTTATATTTTCATCATGAAGACTTCGATGATAATCTTTTGATTCGCATAATCGAATTAGCTGCTGAGGCTGCAGATCTGATCACAAAGGTATCAGGATGTCTATCACAGGAGTTCATAGCAAATACGCTTAATTTTCAAAGTCCTCGACGTGGTATTACAGATCTTGGTCTCACATACTTACAGTCCAAGATGGATAATCATCCTCAAGATTTTCGTAGAATTTACTGCATGTACCCAGATTGGTTCATGAAGTTATGCAATATCTTGAGAGAGTGGGGCCATATAGAAGACACATACCACATTAGTGTTGAGGAGATGATTGTTATTTTTCTTCTCACGGTTAGTCAAAATCAACGACACTCTGTTGCAACTGATCGATTTGATCGTTCAAAATGGACCATCAATGTATGTTTCAATAAAGCATTACATGCCTTGGTATCTTTAGCATCATGCTTGATGGCATCACCCCCTACTGATCCACCTGATAAGGTTAAATCAGAATCTCGCTTTTGGCCTTATTTCAAGGTAATTATTATTGCTTTAGAATTTACACACACGCAGACACACACACACACACACACACACGTGCACACATGTGTGCGTGCCTCCACACACATCACTTGAGATGGTCTGACACATTGATTATTTAGGATTGTATCGGTGCAATAGATGAGACTCATATACCGTGCATGGTGTATAACATAGATCAGACGCCCTATCGAAATAGACATGGTTTTCTCTCTCAGAACGTCTTGGCAGCTTGCACATTTGATCTCAAATTCATTTATGTCTTAACTGGGTGGGAGGGTTCTGCTAATGATGCAAGAGTCTTGAAGGATGCAATGAGTAGACCTTACGGACTTCCACTTCCACAGAGTAATAATCTTTACATAGTATTCTATCAATTAAAGAATATTTTTTTAGTTTACAATATTTTTCTCATTCATATTTATATTCTTGTTTGCAGATAAATTTTATCTAGTTGACTGCGGCTATCCAAATAGGCTATAATTTCTTGCTCCATACCGAGGTCAAAGGTACCATCTTTGAGAGTTCGGCCCAGCTAATAATCGACAACGACCATGAAATTCAAAAGAAGTTTTCAATCATCGGCATGCGTCTCTTAGAGATTGTGTCAAGCACATCTTTGGAGTTTTTAAGTCTAGATTCACTATTTTCAAGAGCCAACCTCCAGGTTTTCCGTATGCCACACAAATAAAGATGTTCGTTGCATGTGTAGGATTTCATAACTTTTTAAGATTGGAGAATACAAATGATGACTTCGACATTTATGATCTTCCACTAGAAGCTCCACGAAATGTTGCTGATGCAGATGATGACTCCGATGAAGAAGATGAGTTACAGATTCAACAGACTCAACGAGCAGCTGCGGGAGCTTGAAGAAATTCTATGGCAGAGGCCATGTAGGATGATGGAAGTCGAGTCACTCTAGGAATTTAGATTTTTATTTACTTGTAAAATATTTTATTATTTGAGATGAATAGTGATGCTTTATTGCATTATATTTTATAGTTATTACTAGACTATATTTTATTATTTGAGATGAATAGTGATGCTTTATTGCATTATATTTTATAGTTATTACTAGACTAATCAATTGCTTATCAATCTTATATTATTTTTAATATACAATTATTAACAATAATAATTTATACTCACCGTTACCCCCATCAAATTATCCTCTTCATAATATTATCCACCATTATCCCACCAAATTATCCAACTTCAAGAATTATTCATCATTGTTCCACTAAATTATCTCAGTGTTAAAAATTATCCAATTTTATCAATTATCTAAGTTCTACTTAAAAAGTTCTAGGTGACTAATCCCCTAATGATTTTTGTGCACCACGTTTTTTTGCACAACCCACACTAAATTTACCAAGCTCAAAGCATCGTCGTCCTCTTGCAAGTGAACCAAATTACTCTGATCTCCTTCTTTCTTAAATTACCCACTCCACAAAACATGAGTAGCTTGGTAATTTATCAGTATAATCAATCTGAATCTTTCTCGTCTCAAATGTCGTGAGTCAACACAGAAGGTTTTCTTTTCACCGAAGAAAAGAATCAAAACATAACCGAATTTACAATTATGACGGAAAATAAGCGGCGAATCTTTGCCGTCTATAAAAAGCTAAACTCCATACTTCTCCGTCACCACGAAGAAAGAAGAGGAGAGTCTAGAGACGGCGAGAGATGACGGAGGTCGCAGTAACGGAGGGTAACGGCGTCGTTGAGCGTCACGATCTCAAGTCGATCCTCTCCGGCGAGGGGAGAGATTTCCTCGTTAGGAATAACGGCGATCAGGTAGCGGCGATTTCAATTATTGTCAATTTTAATTGTATTAACTGATCGATCGAACTAAGTTAAGTGATATATTTAGGTTTTTTTACTTTATTTGACCGAAGAATTTTAGGTTTTGGGGTTTGCTGTCTTATGCTTAATTGACACTTTTTATTATATTTTATTTTATACCCATTCTCTTACCCTGATTTATTTTTTAGTCCCACGAGCTTTCAAAATCATTCATATGCTGAATATTCATGAGTGAGTACAGTACGACATGAGATGGAATAGAAAAGAGGGATGGGTTTAAAATGGAATTTGGGGTTAAAAATATAAGTTAGGGCTAACACCTAATAGCTATAGTTTTTGGGTTAAAATTGGTTCATAGCCCTAGTTTAAGCCCCAACATCATACACTCAGAACATCGAATGTGGATCTTATCATTAAGGCAAATTGAATTAAGAAATTTTGGATACAACCCATTGAACTCGATACGCTGTACATCTTAGAAGTATGAACATGTACCATTGTTTGAAAAGTTATTATTGATGAGCGTAATTCTATATGGAAGGATATTTTTTGAAGTTTGTATTCTGAATCTCTGATGTTCGAACAGAACATTATAAACTAGTTGGATTTTTGTAACCATTACCTACTCTTGAGTGGAAATGAAAAGAAAGTGAAAACGAAAACAGAAATATCTATAAGTTGGAGGTTGTTGTATCACATGCATTCTGTTACATCATTGGATGGCCCCATATAGTTCTAGGAGCTACAAACACAAACTACTACTATTCAGAGCATATGCTAGAGTATCTCGAGCTAGGTTGTGATTAAATTAGGAGAAAGAAGAACACCTAGCCAAAATCTGCATTTATATGCTATAGAGTACCGTAAACTGCTATAATTTAATTTAAACTACGACAATATATGTTAAACTACTATAATATTGGTTACATCTTGTAATAAATGGTCAATTATTGAATTGAGGTTTAAAAATAAATCAGATTGGGTGTTTTGCGTGTACTGTGTACAAGTGATTTTGGAAGTGGCTGGTTTAAAATAAATCTTGTTAAAGAATGAGTTTAAAATTAAAAACACCCTATTCTTTTTCTTGGAATTAGCTGAAAATTTTAGTTGGAAAGCAGGAAAAAGGTAAACTTTTGTGATGCTTTTTGGCAGATTACTGCTTGATTAGATGGTCATAATTTGACTATTGATATATCCTTTGTAAAATTCTGAGGTTAACACCATTAGTTTGGTACAATTATTCTATTGGAGCTTGATTTTAATTTTATTGATTGATTATTTGTAAACTTATCTGTTTTATTTACTTATTAATTGAACTAAATAGAGTGGAAACATTTTTACTTGTTTGATGTACAAATTTTTAGATTTTGGGTTTACTTTCTCATACTAAATGATACTTTTTATTGAAGCTAGCTGATAAATTGAGCTAGCAGAGTGAGGCGGAATTTATTGTTGATTATGTGATCATAGATTCATAATGTGAATGAGGAATATTTATTTATAAAGTTCCTAGGGTTAAGTCCATTAGATTTGAACAAGTCGTTCTAGTGGAGCTTGATTTTAATTGTATTGACTGATTAATTTGAATATTAGTGTTTTTTTTATTGTAATACCCGATTAACAGAGCTAAATTGAGGGGAGATATTTCATTTTTTTACTAGTTTGATGCAAGAAATTTTGGTTTTGGGGATGTTTTATCATGCTAATTTGTACTTTTTACAAAGTTTAGCTGAAAATTGAAATGGTAAATAGGAAACATCTAGAAAGAACTTTGACTGTGCTTGCGAGAGAATATTGATCATCACGATCTTATCAATCTTCATCAGCTAAGGGTAAATGTGCAGCCCAACACCATATCGAGGAGCCTGCATGGAAATTTTGACTAGTGAATGTTAAATTGCTCTTTAGTCTTTCAGTTCATACTAAATTCCTTTCCAAGAAAATTGTGGAAGGGGTAGGGACCTACCTAAAATCTAACAAAACATGGCGAGGTAATTGGAAGGTAAGAAATTTATATGTTTACGCAATGTAAGCTCTAACAGCTACTTGCGAATCCTAGTCCTTACTCATTTATCCATTAAGAAATTGTCAAAAAACCGAAGAAGACAGAGGAGATCTTCTTTAAGAGTATTATTCATCTCAAAGTCTGTAAGCCTTAAGACTCGAGTCAAAAGTCATTCTGGCAGGTAACTTATCAATATTAGCTGAGTGGAGATAATTGAGCATGTTTGATGCGCATAGCGGTTATCATGAACTGTTAACTAGTATCAAGAGTGGGATTAAAATGACAAGGAGAAATATGTATGAAGTAACACTTACAGATTTAAGAGAACCATTACCCACCATCTGTTGTTCAAGTATTTACCTATTGGAATGACGTTGGTTATGAGCCCAGGTCTCATTCAGGAAATTTCTTTGAATGAATTGATAGGTTTGTGACCAGTTATTTAACACTGATGTCAATCTTCTATGGAGTTGGTTCCAAGTTCCTTGTCGAGGCAGCTATGAGTAAAGAAGGGGATTATCAGAAAGCTTGGAAGCTAATTAGCTGCTAAGCAGACCCACCTTTTTAATCAGAAGTTCACTCCTGCAACTAGGGACAATGCTTCGAAGTGTTCAAACTTAGATAACCCCTATGAAAAGCTTTAGTGTTTGATATGGTGAACCAGGTAGAGGTTGAGGTCCTTAAACTACTGAGGAAATACAGGCGAGCAGGAAAAAGACATAAGAAGAGAAACAACCACTGGAAAAATTGCCTCCTTCACATTGCTGTGGTGTGTATTATTTAGTCAGAACTATATAAATAGCCCCTTTGCAGATCTTTAAATCCGACTCAGAGTCCAATCAGGAAAAATGCATTACATATCTTTGAGATTTTAGCTGCTGCTGCTTCAGATTTATGACAACATGAAGTCATTCTTTAAAGAATTAAGGATTTATCACAAATTAATGGAAAGACAATTTGTGTTGAACTTTGTAGCCTCAGTTCTGTCACTGATATCCTAAATTAGATATTTGTTCTGAGGAGCAAATTGCTTGATTGATATAGTCTCCAATTGTTCATTTATTTTTAGAGATGAGGTACTGAAGTTTTCCTGAGAGATGGAAACATTTGCTACTATTCAATCAGACACAACCATTAAAATAGCTTGTGAACTATTCATGTAGTATCCACAGTTACTCAAAACCTTCCTGTTTATTCATGCAATTTTTTCTGTTGACCCTTGATGATGTATTAACGTTCCTTCTCTTCTGCATGTATTAACGTCCATTAAAATAGCCTCAGTTTTTTCTGTTTACTACGCCTTTGCCTTTCTACTTCCTGATGTGTAAAAGACTGCGTTTTGCACTTTTTTCTGAATTGTTTTCCTGCACTGTAGGTAAATGTGATTCTCCTTGTCTGCAGTTCGGGACTGAAATATTGTATGCCTGAAATCAAGTGTATGTAGGGTTTTTGTGCATAGCATGTGGATACTCTGATCCTTGTTTAATTTTCAGCCAATGGAGGTGGTTCATTCCACTATATAAAATCAAAGTCATCTTTACACACCTAACTTATACTTCTAGCTTGTTACGGTTTGGGTTCCTTACTGTTGTACTATTAGTGCCTCAGTAACTGAGAATGTCATCTGTATGAATTTGATAGCTCTGCCATTCACTGATGGGAGTATGCACCCCAAAAGCCGAAACCCACCTACATTAGATTAGATGAGCATTAAAGAACTTTCTTAGTCTCTGGTTTGAGCTGATGGCCTATTTTGGTTGGACTTTGAGTTGCCTTAGCTGAGAAAATGCAGTTCCTTTTTTTACCTTTATTGAAATTCAGTTTTACCTAAAACGATTGTTGTATTACTTGTTTTCAATTGATATTGCTTTCAATTGAGGCTAGGAAAACCATGGTCTATGGCCTAAAACTATGGGTATCATCTTTACAGGTCAAGGTAAGCAATCTCGAGGGGAAGGTTGTTGGTCTCTACTTCTCGGCCTCATGGTGCGGTCCCTGCCGCCGATTCACTCCAAAATTGGTTGAGGCATATACTGAGCTCTCCTTGAAGAATGCTGACTTCGAAGTTGTGTTTGTCTCAGCTGATGAGGATGAAGAATCTTTCAACAAATACTTTTTTGATATGCCTTGGCTTGCCATTCCTTTCTCAGACTCTACTACCCGTCAGCAACTCGATGAGCTTTTCACTGTACAAGGGGTACCCCATCTCGTGGTTCTTGATAAAAATGGTGAGATTGTTAATGATGAGGGTGTTGAGGCTGTGGAAGAATATGGATCAGATGCTTACCCATTCACTCAAGAGAGGATTGAAAAGATGCAATCAGCGGCAAAGGCTGCCAAAGAGAACCAAACACTTCAAAGTGTCTTTATTTCTCCCTCTCGTGACTTCTTGGTTTCAAACAATGGAAATAAGGTAATTCAGTCCCCCATTATTTCACCACTGTTTAATGTTGGAGCACCCATGAAATTAGAACTGGATATGCAGTTAGAACTGAATATGCCCTTAGCTTATTGACCCTTGGAGTAGGCAGTTAATTATTTATTTGAAAACTATTCTTGATTCATAAGTTTTCACAAGTTATATCCAAATGATACGATAAATGTTTACTTTTGTTTGCTATTGTTTACTGTTATCTGTTTGCTTCCCATGTCCTCTTTTGATGTTTCAAGTATAGAGTTCTGACAATTATTTATTCAATCATTTACTGGCTTCTTTGCATTTTCTATATTTTGCTAACCTCCAAATTTTAGCCATGTTAAATTATTACTGATTATGTACCTCATCAATCTGAACTGCTCCTCCTCTTCTTGTTATAAGGTACCTGTGTCAGAGCTTGAAGGGAAGATTGTGGGTCTGTACTTCTGCTTGAACTCATATGGTGCATGCAGAAAATTCACCCCAAAGCTTGTGGAGATGTACGGGAAAGTAAAGGCCAGTGGACATAACTTCGAGGTTGTCTTGGTCTCACTAGATGATGAGGAGGAATCCTTCAAGCTGGGATTTGATGGCATGCCTTGGCTTGCGATCCCCTTCAAGGACAAGACTTGTGAAAGGCTCGTTCGTTACTTTGAGCTCGAGGCTATCCCAACTTTTGTTGTTATTGGTGCTGATGGTAAGACACTTGTTTCCAATGCTGCGGATCTGGTGGAAGATCATGGAGTCGAGGCTTTCCCCTTTTCTCCAGAAAAGTTGGAGGAGCTTGCAGAGAAGGAAAAGGCAAAAATGGAGGCCCAGACCCTGGAGTCTCTTCTTGTTTCAGGGGAGCGAGATTATGTTATAGGAAAAGATGGCATCAGGGTATGATCCAATTATGACCCTCAATTACTATCCTCAAGCTTATGTTTCGTATGGTAACTTAAATGATATTAATATATCAAGGTTTTGATGATACATTATTAGCCTGATACATTATCCATATATTTCTTGTAATTTTCCTTTGCAAGATATCATCTATCACATATGTAGAAAGAGATAATTGAGAGAGCAAAAACCCTAACTTGATTAATTCATTCAGATACTAGAGAGAGATATATATAGTCATACAAATAGGGGTATGGTTAACGGGTCACAGCCCATTAACCCAATACCCAATAGACTTAATCTAACACTCCCCCTCAAGCTGGAGCATAAATATCCACCATGCCCAGCTTGTCACATATAGTAGAAAACACCTTTGAAGAAGTAGCATTGGTAAGAATATCAGCAAGTTGTTGTGAGGACGGAGTGAATGTGAGAGATACTATCTTCTTCTCCCAAGCATCTCTGACAAAATTGCAGTTAACTTCAATATGTTTTGTCCTCTCATGAAACACATGATTCTGTGCAATATAAATAGCAGACTGGTTGTCACAATGCATTGGCATGGGTCCAGACTGAACAAAACCAAGCTTTGTCATAAACTTTTTTAGCCACACCATCTCACAAGCAGTGTGAGCCATTGCTCTATATTCGGCCTCTGCACTAAATCGTGATACTACATCTTGTTTCTTACTTCTCCAAGTCATAAGATTACCTCCAACAAAAGTACAAAATCCTGAGGTTGACTTTCGGTCTCTCATGTCTCCTGCGTAGCCAGCATCAGAGAAAGCCGAAATGTGAGTATGCCCATGCTTCTTATATAACAATCCCTTGCCAGGATAACTTTTGACATATGCCAAAATCTTCAGAGCTGCTGTCCAATGAACCTCTCTAGGTTTGTGCATAAACCTGCTCAGTACACCTACTGCAAAAGTAATATCAGGTCTGGTAACTGTCAAATATATTAGCTTCCCAATTAGTCTCCTATATCGTGCAACATCATCTAGTAGAGAGGTATCATCACGCCACAAATCAACATTTACCTCCATTGGAGTGCTTGCAGGTTTGCATTCCAAGAGACCTGCTTTTTCTAGTAAATCTAGCACATACTTCCTTTGGGATAACAACAGGCCATGTTTTTTATATGCAACTTCAATCCCAAGAAAATACTTTGGCTTTCCCATGTCCTTAGTGACAAAATGACGGTTTAGATACTTCTTAGTCTCAGCTAAGGCAACAGAGTCACTCCCAGTCAGCAGAATATCATCAACATATACGGCTAAAATAACCAAACCAGTTGTTGTGCGTCGAAGAAAGACAGAGTGATCAGACTGATAACGTTGAAAACCAACATTAGAAATAACCTTGCTGAACTTATCAAACCAAGCTCGAGGACTTTGCTTTAACCCATAGATGGTCTTTCTCAGCCTGCAGATAAGATTCTCCCCCTGAACAACATACCCAGGAGGTTGCTCCATATAAACCTCCTCGTCCAAATCACCATAAAGGAAAGCATTCTTCACATCTAGTTGGTGCATCGCCCAATCCATATTAACAGCCAGAGAGAAAAGAATTCTGATGGAGTTGAGACGAGCAACGGGAGAAAAGGTTTCAAAATAGTCAATACCATATGTCTGGGTATATCCTTTAGCAACCAGGCGAGCTTTATATCTATCAACAGACCCATCAGGACGATATTTCAAGGTATACACCCATCTGCAACCAACCACAGTCGCTCTAGTAGGAAGAGAAACCAAGTCCCAAGTCCCTCTAGAAAGTAGTGCATTCATTTCCTTCCTTTAGCAACCAGGCGAGCTTTATATCTATCAACAGACCCATCAGGACGATATTTCAAGGTATACACCCATCTGCAGCCAACCACAGTCGCTCCAGCAGGTAGAGAGACCAAATCCCAAGTCCCTCTAGAAAGCAGTGCATTCATCTCCTCATCCATAGCCTGTTTCCAGGCGGGTACTAACAAAGCTTCCTCATGTGACCTGGGTAAAGATATAGTGGACAATGACAAAGCAAACTGACGAAATGATGAGGTGAGACGGTCATAAGAGACAAAAAGAGAGATAGGATATTTTGGGCAAGACCGTTTACCTTTACGAAGAGCAATAGGAACATCTAAGTCAGAAGAGATATGAGGCTCGACATGAGATGGACCTGCAGCTGGAGAAGAAGAGTCAGCAGGAGCAGAGACAGGTGTATGTACTTTAGGACGGCGAGAGTATGTCAGTAGAGGCTTTGGTGCAGTAGCCTCAGGAGCAGATACCGGAATAGTAGTGGGAGCCGTAGAAGGTAGTGGCACCTGTGGACTGACAGAGGTAGTGGAACCAGAGGAAAAATATGGGACAGACTCAAAAAAGGTAACATCAGCAGAAACAAAATATCTCCTGGTGGTCGGATGATAGCACCTATACCCTTTTTGAGTACGTGAGTATCCAACAAACACACACTTAATGGACCTAGGAGACAATTTATCCAAACTAGCAGTCAAATCCTGAACAAAACACGTACAACCAAAAACTCGAGGAATCACAGAAAAACGTTTTTTTAGCAGGATAAAGGCATGCGATTAATCAAATAACAGGCAGTGAGGACAACATCCGACCACAAGTACTTTGGAATATTCATATGTATCATCAGTGTTCTAGCAACATCGAGAATATGTCTATGCTTCCTCTCAGCAACTCCATTTTGTTGTGAAGTGTGAGAGCATGAAGTTTGATGAATAATACCATTAAGAGCACAAAATTTTAAAACGTCATTTTTCATATATTCCAAAGCATTATCAGTACGAAGAATATGAACAGAAGTAGAGAACTGGGTTTTTATTTCATTATAAAAGAGTTCAATAAAAAGAAGCACGATGATGCTTACCCAGTTCACATGACTCACAACCTAAAGAAGAAAGGGAAGACTGAACAATAACTACCTATCTAAGTTTCTGTAGTGAAGGATCACCCAAACGCCAGTGCCACAGTAAGGTAGAATCAGGCTGTGCTGCAACAAGACCAGCACCCGGCACACTGTCGTCCAAATAGTACATACCTCCTCTCTCATGTCCCGAACCAATCGTCATCCCAGTTGCTAGGTCCTGAAAAACACAATAAGAAGGAAAGAAGGTGACTTTACAGTTATTGTGTTTTGTAAACTTGCTAATGGATAATAAGCTAACAGGGAATTTAGGAGCATATAACACATCTGTGAGTTTTAAAGAGGAAGTAGCATGAACTATTCCAGCACCAAGAACTGAAGAAAGTGTACCATCAGTGATGCGAATAGAGGGAAACTTATCAGAAAGATGTAAAGAGACAAAACGATCCTTTATACCTGTCATATGGGAGGAGGCTCCAGAATCTAGTACCCATGGTTCATGAGGAGAAGCTATGTAAGCATCCATACCTGAAGAGGATGCATGAGTAGCCGAATGACTGTTCTGAGAGAGCTCTAGCCGGCGTAACCTCTCATAATCTGCCTGAGAAATCTGAACAGTAGGAACAGTAGTAGCTGGATTACTAAAAATAGTAGTAGAAATAGGTGAGCGAGTCGACTCGGCATCAGCTACTTAGGCCCATTGAGGACGACCAAACTTCTCCCAGCACTTATCAGAAATATGATTGGTCCTCCCACAGTGACCACACTGACGTGAACCCCTATCAGAATCACCCTGTCTCCCACTAAAAGAGCCACGTCCTCCCAAAGAATCACGATCACGACCACGACCACGACCGCGGCCTCTGCCTCTACTAGAGAACATGGCAGACTGATCCACTAAAGGTGAAGACGGTGCAGAAGTATCAGAAGAAACACCAGTAGAGACCTGCATGACTCTGGAGAATGTAGCAGTCAGTGAGGGGATGATATCTCCACCCAATATCTGTCCTCTCACCTGGGACTGCAAGTTAGGGTGCAATCCAGAAAGAAACTTGGACACTGCCAAGTCACGATGATATCCCAACAGCGTCGCCGCATCAGCTACTGCAGGCTGATGTATCTCCAGTTCGTCTATCAGTCCTTTTAACTTACCAAAGAACTCTGGAACTGACCTATCTCCCTGTTTGAGCGTAAACAGTCGCTCATAAATCTCAAATACACGGGAAGCATTCTTCTCATTTCCGTACATAATCTTCAGACTGTCCCACATCTCCTTCGCAGTGGTTAAGAACATAACACTGCTACTAATCTGTGGTTCCGTGCTGTTGAGGAGCCACATCATAACACAATAATCAGACGAGAGCCAGGAACTGTAGGTGAGATCTGTGGTGGGTGGAGGAGAGGCCAGAAGATGTGGAAGTTTGCTCTGAGCGCCAATGAAGATGCGGAAAGTCTGAGCCCAGAGCAGATAGTTTGTACCATTCAATTTTATTGTAGTCCCCAAGACTACCTTGGGCGCAGAAGTCTGACCAGCAGCAGCAGAGGGAGATGTAGAAGAGGAGGAGAGATCTGTTTCCGATATTATTGCACAATAGTGATAGGCAGGTAGTAGTCAAATAATCAGGGCAGTAGTAGAGATCTGTTCTTTAAACATAGACTAAGAACAGATCAAAAAATAGGCAGTAGTAGATGACCGGATCGGGTCATGTGTGGCCTCGAATCACCTATTCAAGGCCATAGAAAAAAAAGGATAAAACAAACGGTGTGGTACTGTAGCAGCGCAGTACTGTAGCGGCGATGGTACTGTAGCGGCGGCGGCACTGTAGCGGCACGGCTAGTGGTGGCGGTAGTGCCGGCGGCAAGGAGAAGAGGCGGCGACGGCTAGGGTTTTTGAATGAGGATTTGTGACGGCTAGGGTTTCAAGCTCTGATACCATGTAGAAAGAGATAATTGAGAGAGCAAAAACCCTAACTTGATTAATTCATTCAGATACTAGAGAGAGATATATATAGTCATACAAATAGGGGTATGGTTAACGGGTCACAGCCTATTAACCCAATACCCAATAGACTTAATCTAACAACATTTTGTTTAGATGGACAGTATATCACGTCATTAGTTTTTATTTATCGTGACACAAAAAGTTTTTCATTGCTTAGACAGTTTCCTACTAAACTCACTAGTCTTTTTCATTCGTAGATATGATAAGTATGATTTTTATAGCTGAGACATCCCTTTGGTAATTAACTGTTGACATTTTCTCCCCTATTCTTGGGGAGAGCGAGAGAAACCCACTAGATATCTTAAAACATTATAGTCATTCTGGAAACTTTGCACGTGTAAATGCAACTGCTGGGTATTAAAACATTTTTCAAAGTTTTATATTAATAAAGAAGAAATGGATAGTCATAACCTAGAGTTTTAAAATAAAATAAATTATATTTTTTAAATTTATAACTATAAATGTTAATGTCATATTCTTTAATTTTATACTTCGAGTCAATCATTTTATGTTTTTGAAAGCTCTAATTCTCAAAGATTTATTTAGCAATTAAACAGATATTTTAGTGCTGTATCCACCATTGTATTCTATCCTAAGAGCTATACAATGATTAGGAAAAAATCTTTATGTCATATTCTTTAATTTTATACTTCGAGTACATCATTTTATGTTTTTGAAAGCTCTAATTCTCAAAGATTTATTTAGCAATTAAACAGATATTTTAGTGCTGTGTCCACCATTGTATTCTATCCTAAGAGCTATACAATGATTAGGAAAAAATCTTTATGTCATATTCTTTAATTTTATACTTCGAGTACATCATTTTATGTTTTTGAAAGCTCTAATTCTCAAAGATTTATTTAGCAATTAAACAGATATTTTAGTGCTGTGTCCACCATTGTATTCTATCCTAAGAGCTATACAATGATTAGGAAAAAATCTTTATGTCATATTCTTTAATTTTATACTTCGAGTACATCATTTTATGTTTTTGAAAGCTCTAATTCTCAAAGATTTATTTAGCAATTAAACAGATATTTTAGTGCTGTGTCCACCATTGTATTCTATCCTAAGAGCTATACAATGATTAGGAAAAAAATCTTTACTTTGCATTTGATATACAAAATTTCCTCTTGAAAATTTCAGATTCCTAGTTTAATAATTGTAATTGCATTATTTTAGTTTATTTTTAATTTTTATTTGAAAGGTTTGTATCTTCTTCTAGAATGTTTTACTTTCAAAGTTTTTTTAATTGTGTTGTTTGCTAGAGAAGGAATGTGGTCAGTGTTTCGAATCAATTGTGTATAAGAGAGATGATACATAGTGAATTGTGAAGGATTTAATATTCATGTAAAATGGCAAAATTGCCCTCATGTCTTAAGTAGCTTTTAAGGATATTCCTCCTTTCTTTTAAAATATTAGTGTTACTGCATGTGCAATAAAAATTAAAACATAGCTTATCCTAATTCTTATACAAAGAGCTCCTTTTGAATTTTGATACCCAGAGGCTCATAAAAATAAAGGAACAAAAGTTTTGATCTCAATTTGTTTGAGGCTTTTTTTTTAAAGGCGAATTTGTTTTGTTGTCTGAGGCAATATTTGTAACTTTTTGAGGTCTGTTTTGTTAAATTCTTTTAATACGACGTGGGGTAGTCGCCACTGCTCCTACTAAATAAAATTCAATTAGTTGAAAAAGTTGGGTGTTATACGAGAACTATTTTCTCATGGAGTTGAGATTCTATACCCCAAAATATAAAGAATAAAGAGTCTAATCTCAATTAGTTAAAAAGGTTGGGGTCTTATATGAAAAACAAACTAATTTTTTATTTTGAAAATTGGAAGATCTTTCTCTCACCGCCTTATCTTCACCGGTAGCGCTTTCTTTTCTTTGAATTTTTATGTGGGGCCATGTACGACACTACGGCACCTCAGTGTGTAGATAAAAACTTTAGGAGAAAATTACAATTATGCCCTTAAAATAATAATGGAACGTATGAGTTGTCCTCCATTCCAACAAAATACTTTTTGACCTCACTGCGTTTTTATAGTATAGTATAGATTTTCTACCCTCACTAAGTTTTTAATGTAGTGGTCTGTATATCACAAAATAAACTTCTCAATCATAGAATTGAAGTAATTTCGCCAACATTTATTTATCTTCTACTTTTCATCTAATAGTATGCGAGGGAATGAGATATATGCAACTTAAATTGAATTATGAGTCAACAAATCATTCTTTAACTTTTTGGTTTTTTAGTCAACGTATATCAAGAAGACTGGAATACATCACAAATATTTATGGATGTATTTGACTAGTGTGCACTTAAGTCACTAAGTATCCTGTATGAATTGGATACCGGTACTTCGAAAATACCCGCATGCCTCATAGCATTTTATTCTGTCTCGCTCAATGGAGTCATCCAATAGATATGATTGATCTGATATTTGGGAGCATTCAATTTCAAGCTATATATTCCAAAAGATTTTCCTTGGAATTTCCATAAAAGTGCATTTCATTTACTTTTCTTAACTTTTTCTTTAATATCCGACAATTTTGATTGAATTGTTTAGCTTCGTTCTTTCCCCCACGATTCTGTGTTTCTTCGATGCAATGTTGATCATGCCTGTAATTCAAGTTCTCTAATCAATGAATTTATAGATGTACTGATGGTCATTCTTGTCCTAAGTATTTCCCTTGTTGTTTCTTATTGTAGAAAACATCCTTTCAAATTGGTGTTCACAATTGATGCAATGGACATAAATAGTCCTGACCATGGGTTCTCCCACAGAATTGGTTCAGTCTCGCATTACACACCGAAATTTTACAATTTCCTATTTCTATGTTTAATTATTATACCATACATGTTAATACCCTATGAGGTTGTCTCTGAGTATGGTTTGCAGAGATGCTGAACAATTAGAAAGTTTAAATAAATAAACACTCACCTTTAAGAATGTAAGACACAAGTCGAAACTTTTTGTGATTAATTTTTGAATGTCGACCCATGGGTTTGGACTTATTAAATAAAAACCTAACAAAATATTACTGCTGAATAAAGGAGAATCTTAAACGTTGGGATTCATTACCAGTTCGTAAATTGCATTGCCCTACCAGAATAGAAATTGCAATTTTATTATAAATAGTAAGAGAGAGATTTGTATTGTTATTGTTTAAACATGTACAAATTGCAATATGTCTGCGTGATGGTATTCTACCTTAAAGCTGTTCATGCTTTCACACTTTTCACACTCATTATCCAAACTTCCACATCTACAAATTGATCCAAAATTTCACTCCTTATTGCCACATTTATGTCCTCTTTATGTTCCTCATACGTGTATTTGCTACTTTGGACATTTATAATTTATTCATTAATCTCAAGCCTGAGGAAGCAATTTATGTTGGTTTGTTGTGATGAAAAGGTTCCCGTCTCTGAACTTGTGGGCAAAAACATCCTCCTCTACTTCTCTGCTCTTTGGTGTCCCCCTTGTCGTGCATTTCTCCCAACACTCACTGATGTCTACAACAAGATCAAAGCCAAAGACCCAAACTTTGAACTTGTCTTCATATCCAGCGATCAAGACCAGAAGTCTTTTGATGACTACTACGCATCAATGCCATGGCTCGCTATCCCCTTTGGCGATGATAGAAAGGAATCACTTTGCAAAACCTTCAAAGTCTATGGCATTCCATCCTTAGTGGCAATTGGACCAACGGGAAAGACAGTAACAACGGAGGCGAGAGATTTGATAATGGAACATGGAGCAGAGGCTTACCCGTTCACTGAGGAGCATCTAAAGGAGTTAGGGTTGAATGAGGAGGACGACGATGACGACGACGATGACGATGATGACGAGATGAAGATTGAGAAGGAGGGATATGTATGTGATGGGGATGTGTGCCGCAAAGCTTAGTATGAGGGATTTGGCTTACGTTTGTGATAGTTTATGGTACATAATTTGTATATGTATTGTGATAGGAGGAATAAGCTTGCTCCTTAGATTTTGAGCAATGATGTGTGATATGTGATATGGAAGCTAAAGAGACTGCTGAGGGGGCACACTTGTTTTTTAGACGGTTTGTACCAAATTCAGCTGCTTCGAAAGGGTGTTTCTGAAAAATTATGTGATGTATGATTTCTGTATGTATTTCTACCTGTCCTGCAAGAATGTTTGGTTTGGAGTCCAGCCATGTTATGTTGATAATATGGTAAACAGCTAGAATATCTCCATGTCAAGGTGTAATATCTCTTGCTGTAACCGTCTTCTCTTTTTTCTGACACCGTGTTGATCGGCTGTACATGTTCCTTAATAAAGCATATTTTGTTGGGAACTGTCACAGTTCTTGATGATCTTTTTGTCATCGCGTATTTTTTTTTGCACTTCATTTGGGATCAGGTTAAGACTTGCATATTTGTGTCTCATGAATAGGGGAGTAAATTGATGCGTGTGTCTGCGTGCACATATTTTGCATTATGCATTCATATCGCAGTTGAATATAAATGCAGATGTTGATATCTTTTTATTGTTTTTAGTATGGTTACTGATGTCTCGATGACCACAGCCCGCGGTTACATCCACAACAAGGGGGGAGGGGCTTGACCTTGACGCACCCACAACACTTGAAAGCTTTCAGTAAAGCTTGAGGCTCCTACAACGACAGATAAATGAGAAAAATACGAGGGTTTGCTTCACTAGCTCCTACCTAATCCACAACTACTGCTTGTAGCAAAACTCCTCTCGACAAAATCAACTAAGATGAGCTTCCTATCTATCAAATCCTAATTTTTGTTCTTTTCCCTTCGCGGCGCTTATAATGATAATAGAACGAACTGAATGAAACCCACATTTCGTATCAAGCTTAAAAAGCCCAGAACGACTTAGAGTCTCGACTCTCAACAGAATCACAAGTGAACTCGCCAACATGACCAAATTATCATATCCCTCGGCCAAATTTCAACGTGCCCAAATTCGGAGCCCACTAATCCTTAATGGGCTAAGCTTAAAATAAAGTCACCCTATATTACCGACTCATTAACTTAAGTGGAATTTGAAAAATTCTTTTTGTAACGTGTTTATTTTCATGTTTATAAATATTTTTTAAAGTTTTACATTTTTTGAAATTTATTTGATATTTTTTAACAAGATTTGAAGTTGGTTTTTATTGTACATTTTTAGTTTCTGTGCACGTTTAAGTCGACTCATAAGTTGACTCATAAGTCGATTTATGACGTGCAGTGCAGTTGTGTATTTTTATCTGCTGGGTCGACTCATATAAGTCGACTCATGCAAGTCGACTTACGACTGTCGTAAGTCGACTTATCAGAGAGCCATTGCGCAATAACGACTACTTTTTTGTTTTGTTTTTTTTTGGGATTTTGGGGTTTTCTTGGGTTGATTTATTCTGTCCTATATATACCCCTTTGTCATAACTATTTGTAGAACTAAGAGAATTTTAAAAACAAGTTTAAGGGTGTTTAAGTTTGGTTTTCAAGTTGTTTTGTGTGAAGAAGTTTTCACAAGAGGGGATCATCTTTGGTGTTTGAGCTTCAATCTCTCATCTCTCTCACTCTTGTCATCTTAGAGAATTTTTACTAAACTCAATTCTAGCTTTACATATTTATATTTGTTATTTATCATTTCATTAAGCTAGATTTACAATTGAGTTTGGTTGCTTATCGTTTCACACACAACCTATAGAGAATTTTTACTAAACTCATTAGTATTATCACACATTGTGTAATTTGGGTTGTGGGTGTGATTAAGTGAGCTTTTAATTGCGTTCTCATCCATTATAGAGAACAAACTTTGTATTGAGCTTTATTTGTGAGATCACATTATGATAAAGTCACCCTATATTACCGACTCATTAACTTAAGTCGCCTAATTTCAAGATGCCATGTACCATAGAAAAAGTAATATAAAGACTTTTTATGCATACTTTTTTTGATACCACTCTTATGAATTTCTAGTTCCATCTCTAATCATCTTGATATTAATATACGTCATGTTAATTGATCCGATTTGATGTAACATCGATGAAGCACCACATCTAGAGTGTTCTTAGTTATTTTTTGGGTAAATATCAGAACCCCCCCCATTTGCACTACAAGATAAAATCACAACCATTAACTAGATAATCAATGGCCGTGATTATGTAGTGGTCCCTCCACTATTTTTTTTTTGTAGTGGAGAGGATCCGAATCCTTTTTTTTGATGATTATCGGGACCCCCCCAAAAAAAATTTGATGATCGGAAAACCCCCGCAACTTTGAAAATATAGAAACCATTTACGTTTGGGGGTTATTTGAAAAACTCCTTTAATTTTAAGATTTATCATAAAAACCCCTTTACTTTGAGCTTTTAGGGGGTTTTCTAATAAAATCTCAATGGGCGTCTTCATCAGAAAATTGTAAAGGTAAAGGTTTTTTTTATAATCCCTATACTTAAGGAGGCTTTTTCTGATATTTTGGAAGTTATGAGGATTTATATCTATAATCGTCCAAAGTTAAGGGTGTTTATGATATTTAGCCATTGTTTAATGGGGTTCTTAGGCCTGTTTAGTGACTGGACATGTAGGGTTACATCCTATCAATTTTAAATTTAACTAAATGACGCATTGTCAATAATCACACTAATTTTACAATTGTATTCTAAAATGAATTTTCTATAATGTGCCCTTAGGGCATATATTAAGAACTTGGAAAATTGTGTCAAGACTCCAAAGGTTCAGAGCCAAGGAACCTTTGGAGCTTGTACACTCAGATGTATTTGGTCGAGTAAAACAAGAATCAATCGGTGGGATGCGGTACATGATCACTTTCATCGACGATTACTCGAGATATGTCTTGGTTAATTTTATGAAGGAAAAGTCTGAAGCACTCTACAAATTCGAGCAATTTCAAGATGAGGTTGAAGGAGAACTCGGCAAGAAGATTCGTTGTCTACGCACAGACAATGGGGGAGAGTACACATCAAAGGAGTTTTACGACTACCTGAAGCAGCACAAGATTCGACTACAGGTAACGTGCCCAAATACTCCACAACAAAATGGCATAGCTGAAAGAAAGAATCGTCATCTCGCTGAAATTTGCAGAAGCATGCTCCGTGCCAAGTGTTAGACCCTAGAGGGGGGTGATTAGGGTCTTATGCTAATCTAATCTAATTAAATGCCAATTAAAATTAATTAATAAGTTATCCTAGCAAGTATGAAATATAACAACTATATATAAGCTAGGATAAGCAATATGAACAACAAAGAGATATATCCTATGATATATGCAAGGATATGAAACTAACACAAGGGTAAACAATATGAACTAGATAGTGGATCATATAAATAATGAGCTAATGACAATGGCGACAAGAATTATAAACACAAGTATAAATAAACGCCAAAGCACACTCAAACACAAGATATGATCACGGAGTTCGGACCTTCCGTCCTACGTCTCCGCTCCCCACTCCCGGGGAGAAATCCACTATCAACCGGGTTTTCTACGTTCACCCGAATAACGTTTACACCTCACAGTGTCGGTTTTCAACGCTCACCGATCAACGTCACTCCTCACACTCGGTTTCTAGCTCACCGAAAACCTTACAACACTCACAATGTAACAAATATAAATTTGTTCTCTACAATAGATGAGAACACAATGAAAGCACAACTCAAGGTTACAATCTCTCACCACCCAACTATACTATGTATGAAAGATACAATAAGCTCAATGTGGGTGTGTGTGTAACAATGAGTAAATAAGATCAAATCAACTAAACTCAAGTATGAAATCTAGCTTAAGAACAATGATAATCAATCAAGTATATAAATGTAAAGCTAGAGTTTGAGTTTAGAAAACTTCTCAAGATCTCAAGAGTGGAGGGAGAAGAGTTGGATGCCCAAACACCAATAGATTATCTCCTCAAGCTCTTGTTGAATTGAATCACAAAACCAAAACACTCTAATGCTTAAAAGCTTCTTAAAACAAACTTAAACAAACACTAAACAAGTTTAAACCCTTGTTAAAACTTTTAAACCATTCTCTTAGCTCCTTGAAAAGAAATCAGCAAAGGGGTATTTATACCCACTCAAAGCTCAGCCAAAAACCCCTTTCGAAAAAGGACTTCCCAAATGAAAAATATCATCATTTTACAAAATAGTCCAAAACATGAAAACCTGAAAATTGATATTTTGATATTTTGACTTAAACAACATTTTGAAACCTTATGAAATGATTGTATAGACTTGATAAAAGATATAACATGTTGTTATGAAGTCTATAATCTAGAAATACAATATTTTCATAAATTTGCATATTCTATGCAATATATTCAAAACACTAAATATGATTTCATTAAATATAAGCTTGTTAAAGGGGAAATCATATATAGGCATATAAACATGAAACAAAATAGTATTTTCCAATTCTATTCATTTGTTTCATAGTAAAACTTGAAAACTATCAAACCAAAACATATATGTATATATATAACTATATATATACAAAATCCAAAACGTGTATGTGTGTATATGATTGAGCTTAAAGTACTAACACACATAATATAAATTCCTAAACTAAATTACCCAAGCTTGATTGGTCTTCAATAAGCTCTACTTGGTAATCTCGCGGATGAAGCTTGAACTTGATCTTTAACTTTGAATTGCAAGGCTTCACCGACATTCCGCCAACCTCCTTTGGATATGATCGTTGAAGCTCTATTTCATCCATCCTCCAACTATTTTGTTTGTCTACAACAAATACGAAAACACAAATACTAGACAAACAACATTAGTGATAAATTGTTTGTTAAACATCATCAAAACAAGAAGGCCAACACCAAGAACGTACCGGGACGTTTTTGGGCAGAGTGTATGAAGACGGCGACGCATGTGATCAATCGGCTACCACAACCAAAGTTGGAGTTCATGTCACCCGTTCAGAAGTTGTGGAATACTAACCCAACCGTAAGCCATTTCAGAGTTTTCGATTGTGTATGCTATGTTTTTGTGCCTGGTCACTTACGCAGCAAGTTCAACAAAAAGGCTGTAAGATGTATATTTGTGGGATATGACAATAAAAGAAAAGGATGGAGATGTTGTGATCCCACAACCGGATGGTGCTACACATCAAAGAATGTTGTGTTTGACGAAGCTTCATCTTGGTGGACTCCAAAAGAAGTTGTGCTACCAGACTCTAATGATTTAGAGGATCAGTTGCAGAAGAAGCAGGGGGAGCCAAGTCAAGAAGAAGAACTGAAGCAGTCAAAGAAGATAGAACCAAGTTCTTCAATATCCTCAAAGGAGAATAATCCATGGAAGACTGATGTTTATCAAACAACGCCAG